AGTCGTTGTTTGAGACACAAAGAAAAAAAAGAAAAAAATTAGCTACAACATTTCATGAGAAAGCAGGTTACCCCAAAAAACTCATGATCGATCAATCGGAACCGAGTCATTGAAAGTCATGAAACTAATATTAAAGATGAACCGTCTTATTCCGAATTAAAAAAAAAAAAGGGAATAGGGGAAATAGGGGAAGAGATTAATTTATTCAATTTAATTTTGATTGGATAAAATGATATTCAACTGCTGCGTACGGTTAATTATATGCGCACTGACGTAACATAATGACTGCGTAATAATATGATATATTTATATAGTAAAATATATAATTGATATAATTGAATATAATTGAATATAAATGATATAATTGATTTAATTGATGTAATTGACGTTTTTTTTGACATTATTTTAATTTATTTTATTTATTTGATTTCTTAAAAAGGAAACCAAAATTAATAAAGTATTGACATGTGGTTTCGGCAACGTTATATAAATATATTACTTTAACAGTTTAAATCACATGATATATAAGAATATACTGAATTGAATCACAATATCACAATATCACAATTATAACAATTATAAGAAGGATATGTATTTAAAATTAGCTTTATTATGGGAAAAATGATAATCAACTGTGATCGCGCTATTATAATTCGTCATTTTGACACCATAAGATGGTTGACGCGTTTTTTTTTTAGTAAGAAATCTAATTACAAACATTAAAACAAATCCACATGAAACAACAAATATTAAATGTATAGTATCACCGCATTGAACTTTTTTCTTTTAGGATCTTACCGAAATCGCCGATTATTAGACAAAAAAAAAAAAGATTTTTGACCTTTTATAAATGTTTTATTTACAAATATGTTATAATTAGTCAAACAATTCCCCCATATTTTAATCTTTCTTATTTTGTATGTTTTTACCTCACATCTATTTTTACCCCAATAATGTTCTACTTCTAAACCAGCCTTTTTTTATTATTTACTTATATTATTCTCATGTATGAATGAATGATATATATACACAAATATGTAATGCATGTAATAATGTAATAATTTGACTGTCATTCTTATTTAATCCTTATCAAAATAGTTATTATGACACCATCATACATTATTATTTATAAATACGATATAAGACCCATTATAGTTTTATAGTTTTATAGTTTTTATAGTTTTTATAATTTATGGTTTTATGGTTTTACGATTTTTATGGTTTTAATTGTGATCATGGGGTAATTAAAAATATGAACATATGAACAACATATTGTTAATATAATATTATAAAACCTTTTTTTTAAAATTTTCTTTATTCCGTTAAATTTTTTTTTTTAGGTTTTATAAATTCAGAAAATTTTTATATTGTGCGCCAGTGAAAAAATCTAGACGATCTAACAAACAAATCTTGTAAAATCGGGAAATCACCGAGTCATTCAATTAATTTCATTGAAGCAAATTTTTAGCCCGTTTATACCATTTTTGTTATAAAGGGAAATAAGATCAAAATGATAATGTACTAATATCAAACAAAGTTGGAAAAATCAATCAAGTTACGTCATGTTCTGACCATTTATATTTTTCTCATGTTTGTTTGTAAATTTTTTTTTTTTAATGAATATTCATTACAATAAATATTCAATAAATTATTATCTTACATTATCTTTTGATCATCTTGTAACTTTAGATAAGGCGTTTTTTGGTGACTCGTTTTTTTTTAGTATAGCCTCTAACATGAGTACATGTTAATTACTTTATTTGGTTATTTCATAATTTGATTATCTGTTGCCAATGATATTCATTTTTATAAGCCAATCAATTTCTAAATATTAACAACGTGATAATTAAAATTGAATTATTATTTAATTATTAATTATTTATTGTTTAATTTATGTTGGTAATTAAAAATGCCGAGAAGAGAAATTATTGTCCTACTTTTTTTTTTATTTTTTCATAAAACAACGACCTTCTTAACAACGTCCTTCTTAACAACGTCCTTAACAACGTCCTACTTACAACGACCTTTGAGAGATTAATATGATAATATGAATAAATTTTACTTTTTTTTTTTCCGGTTTATTAATTATTCTTGTTTAAACCGCTTTTTTTCTTTAACATACTTGTTTACCATATTTATATAAATTATATTATTTATTTATTTATTTCAAAGCCTTAAACAACAATAGTAACAATGTTTTTTTTTCTTGTTATTTAATATTTGTAATAACCTAATGTCCTTCTTATAACGGATTTACCGTCCGTGTTTTAATTTAATGTTTAATGTTTCGTATGTTTTCGTTATCGTTAAATCTTTTACAATTTTGAAAATTTTGAATGTAAATAATAATGTGCTTTTTTAAATTGAGTTTTAAAAAAAAAAAATTAAACAAATAATAAAATATTAAATATTAAAAATATTAATATTAATAATAATAATAATAATAATAATAATAAAACAAACAAATAAATAAATAAGATAAAATAGGTTAAATAAAACGAAGAGCCCTTTGGCCCTTTTTCTCTAAATTCTTTTAAATTTTATAAATTTCAATACAATTAGTTCAAAAAGGTTCAAAAGAATGATTAAAATGACCAATAAAATCGATTTATATCATTGTGATCACATGATATTCTGTACGAAATATCTATAATTCTTATAGTTCTATAGTCCAAAAAAAAAATTTTTTAAAGTTATTAACATTAATATTTCCTAATTGTTCTTTATATTAGTATATTTTGCATTAATGTAATTTAGAATCTCATTATTACATTGGTTTATACCATAATAAAATCGATAATTTTGGTGTCAATGTGTCATATTCGTATTATACTATAATTCAACTCGGATATTTTACGATTGGAACATTGTAATATAAAGTATAACATATTGGAAATATTTGTAATATACACAATGATACAAATGTGTTCAAAACGTCATTTTATCATTGATTGATTGGTACAATTACAATTAATTCCAATTTATAAATATTTGGTAAAGTTCAAAAAGGATTTCGGATCAGTTAAAAATTGTATATTTATTTTTATCATTGAAAGATAACTATTTCTAGTTAGTCTATTATACAAGTTCTATTATACAATAAATATCTTAAATTTTTAATTACTTTTTTTGGAAGATTTTTTTGACCTTTTAAAAAATATTATTATTCTCATTGTAATTGATTGATTTGATTGATATAGTATTTATATCAAAAAAAAATTCTATTTGAAGTATGGATTAACATATTTTTACTTCAAAATTAGAAAAACTTATTTGGAATATGAATTGACACAAAAATATTATTATTTAAAATATATCAATATATTATATCAATTGATTTTTTATTTCTTTAAAAGAGTTATATATTTAAAGTATAGATTAATACTCATATTTTATATTAAATCAGAAAAACTTATTTGAAATATAAATTGATACAAAAGTATTATATTACTTAAAAAGAGTAATACTTCTTATTTAAAGGAAAAATTACAAGAATCAACCCTATAATAAATAATTTGCACCTTACCCACCAGCAATTATATTCCATAAATATATCAAATATCAATATATTATATCAATTAATTTATTTTTTTTAAAAAAGAGTAATGTATTTGAAGTATAAATTAATATATATCAGAAAACTTATTTGAAATATAAATTGATACAAAAGTATTATATTATTATTATATTTAAAAGAAGTGACTATACTTCTTATTTAAAGGAAAAATTACAAGAATCAAATCTATAATAAATAATTTGCATCTTACTAAATATATTTCATAAATATATCAGATATCAATATATTATATCAATTGATTTATTTTTTTAAAAAAAAGTAATATATTTGAAGTATAAATTAATATATTTTATATTAAATTAGAAAACTTATTTGAAATATAAATTGATACAAAAGTATTAGGGCACTGTTAGATATTATCTAATATCACTTTAATATAAGAGCTTACCCCCCTCTTCTAGGTAAGATATGTTATAATTATAATTCCTTATATAGTATTATATGTAACCTAAGATCTTTAGTTATCTCCCTCCCCTTAAAATATTAGGTAATATCTGACAGCATCCTTATATTATTATTATACTTAAAAGGAATAATACTTCTTATTTAAAGGAAAAATTATAAAAATCAAATCTATAATAAATAATTTGCACCTTACTTACTAGCAAATATATTTCATAAATATATCAGATATCAATATATTATATTATATCAATTAATTTATTTTTTTTAAAAAAGAGTAATGTATTTGAAGTATAAATTAATATATATCAGAAAACTTATTTGAAATATAAATTGATACAAAAGTATTATATTATTATTATATTTAAAAGAAGTGACTATACTTCTTATTTAAAGGAAAAATTACAAGAATCAAATTTATAATAAATAATTTGCATCTTACTAAATATATTTCATAAATATATCAGATATCAATATATTATATCAATTGATTTATTTTTTTAAAAAAAAGTAATATATTTGAAGTATAAATTAATATATTTTATATTAAATTAGAAAACTTATTTGAAATATAAATTAATACAAAAGTATTATATTATTATACTTAAAAGGAGTGATATTCCTTATTTAAAGAAAAAATTACAAGAATCAAATCTATAATAAATAATTTGTACCTTACTTACCAGCAAATATATTTCATAAATATATCAAATATCAATATATATCCTACAGCCAAATAGGATCATGCTTTTTTTATCATGCTGATATTTTTTTATTAAGCTATAAATAAACTATGATAGTATACTAATTATTATTGATATTTTTTCAAATACTAAATACCATGTACTAAATATCATACTTAATATCATACTAAATATCATAAATATCATGTACTAAATATCATGTACTAAATATTATACTGCAAATATAGATACTATTTTAATTTATAATAAATTTGCTATGACAAATTAACCTTTCTTTTAAGCTTGAAAATTAAATCACAATTAAATAACTCTTTAAATTAATCAATATTCATTAAAATTTCTAATTGTTGATTTATGTCAGTTAAATTTAATGGCTTTTTTAGAGAATTTTGTTGATTTTCGTAAAATACTAAAAAAATAAATTAGACAAATTAATAAGTTACAAAATAAAACATATTAATAAATAAAGAATTACCTTCTTTTGCAGTTTTAATATTATTGTTTTCTTTTCCAATTACTTGTTCATTATATGAAACTTAACCATTTAATATATCTGGTACTTTCGCCTTATCTAATAAATAAAAATCAGATATTTAATTATATATTTAGTTAAAATATTAAGTAATTATGATAATTGAATAAATTCTATATACCTAAAGTTGGTTTTCCATGAATTTTATCCATAAATATTCCAATAATCTCGTTTTTTTTATCATCAGGAGATAAAGTGTATGATAATAATCCAGCATCAGAGCAGTGACAAGAAAGTAATTTTATTTCTTCTTTAGGAACGCCCATTTTTTCACAATTTTAGATAAGTGCACGTCACCCAGAATGGTTAGTGATTTTCCTACCACTAAAGTTAATGCCAGTAATTTTGCAAATTTCATTTAAAAATGAATTTAATCTTCTGAATCCTACGTGTTTTAGTTTATATCAAATTCCCATTTTCAAAGCTAAAATAATGAAGTGTATTAATTTTTATTAATAAATATTTATAAATATTATTATTAAAATATATTACCAAATTCTTCTTCAACTTCTTGAAGGTAGAAATCTGGATCTGTATCATAGGGACTTGATGATAAATATTTATCAAGAAATGTAGTAACTTCTGGATGATTTGCTAAAACCAATTTTTCTGCCTTTCCTCGATTTTCAGTAAGACCACTTTGGTTGTTTTTGGAACAATAAATAAAAACATTGTATCCACCATCATTACATTTAACAAAATCAGTTCCATTAAGTAATGCATGTTCTCCTCCACGAATCCCAAGATATATTGCATTGATAAAGAACACTCTTCTCAATAATCTTTCAGGTGTGGTACCATCTAATAATCTATGATTTAATATTTGGGTAATTTCTTTAGCTTTTAGCGAATCTGTTCCTTTAGTTTCACCTTTTCTATTTTTAGATAAAAATCTAATTTTTCCATTAACAACTTCTTTTATAGCTTTAAAACAAGAATCATTATATAAATCAATATTTTTAATTCTTGATTTTTCTTGAAAAAAATGATTAACAGCTGCAAGAGAAACTCTAATAGAATTAACAGAATAGTCAGCACCATTTTTCTTCTTCATATTAGCAAAAAAAGAGCATAATTGTTCAATTAAATCTTGTTCAGATTCCACTTCCTGAATCTTTCCTATATATAACTGTTCATCTCGAAACTTCTCTAGTAAGCCTATCCATATATCTGTTGCCTTAACTGTATTTTTTACTTTTGAAAATTCACAATAAAAGTCAACCTTGTCTTTTACTGGAGTAGTGGTCTCTTCTAATTTTTCCTAAAAAAAGACAATACAAAATGTAATTATAAAGAAAGAAAAATAAAGCAATAATATTAATAAATGAATAATACCTTATTTTTTGAACCTAATCGTAGCATTTTATTTGAATATAAGTGAAAGAAATAAATGAAGAAAAAGAGAGGAAGTAGTTTAAAAAAGGTTAAAAAGACGCATTGTATTAAACTGGAAATAGTTTAATATCGTATTTATAAGCAGAAATAGTTTAAAAAAGGCTAAAAGGATGCGTTAAACCAAAAATAGTTTAATATAGCATGATCATCAGTGGCTGCAGGATAACACAGTTATTTGATAGGGAGTTAAAATATCATCTGAACTGCTTCGCAGTTCGGTGATATTCTAACCCCCCTATCAAATAACTAATATTTAATTGATTTATTTTTTTTAAAAAAAAAGTAATGTATTTGAAGTATAAATTAATATATTTATATTAAATCAGAAAACTATAAATTGATATAAAGTATTATATTATTATTATACTTAAAAGGAGTAATACCCCTTATTTAAAGGAAAAATTACAAAAATTAAATAAATTAATATATTTTATATCAAATTAAAAAAACTTATTTGAAATATAAATTGATACAAAAGTATTATATTATTATATTTAAAAGGAGTGATACTCCTTATTTAAAGGAAAAATTACAAAAATCAAATAAATTAATATATTTTATATTAAATTAGAAAACTTATTTGAAATATAAATTGATACAAAAGTATTATATTACTTAAAAAGAGTAATACTTCTTATTTAAAGGAAAAATTACAAAAATCAAATCTATAATAAATAATTTGCATCTTACTAAATATATTTCATAAATATATCAGATATCAATATATTATATCAATTGATTTATTTTTTTAAAAAAAAGTAATATATTTGAAGTATAAATTAATATATTTTATATTAAATTAGAAAACTTATTTGAAATATAAATT